CAGAAAGTGGCCAGCCCAAGATAGAGAGAGGTGGAAAGTGTTTGTTTGTGACCTATAAATATCCTGATCCAGGGTGAAAAAGCAATGACGATTAAGAAATGCTAGCTCTGAACGTTCACCATAAACTTTACTCCTGGGAAAGTCTGCTATTTACTGTAAGTATTACCCCAGATTAAAAGTATCTGTAAGGTTCCGGCACATCAAAGGAGACATGAATAGGGGCTTACATTATCAATAAATATTCGTAATATACTAGATAGCGCAAACTAGTAGAATTAAGACAGGTGAAATATATAAAAGTAAGTGATTCACACTTGCGTGTAGGTCATGAACATAATCCTACCCGGGACCCAGACACTCTTTGAACAAACTTTCCGGGCAACTTGACCAGTACGTCGTGTTTTACTATCGTATCCATACGACGTGCCACCACTTTCCAAAGAGGAAATTTACTTGTCAATCCAATCCGTACGCTTTGCATAGCTGTCTGACAAAATGATTTTTTTAAAAAAGATACTGAAATTTCAAAGAGATTTCCACACTAGAAGTATTTTAAAATGAGAAGAATACAACCCCTGGGGTACTAAATGACCCCAGGCGTGCGGATAGGGTTACATCTGCGCATGCTTGTCAAACAACTCAAGTCTGGCTCGTCATAATCGCTGACTTTTTAACGGTCCCTTTATTGTTTCGGTCTATCTGTCTTGCTTTCCCACCTTTGTTTCTGTCCTTCTGTCTTATTTTTCCTTTTTTGTTTCTGTCTATCTTACTGTCCCTCCATTGTTTCTGTCTGTCTGTCTTTTGTTTCTATGTTGTTGTTTTTTTGTCTCTGTATTGTTTATGTCTATCTATCTCTTGTTTCTCTATTTCTCTCCTGTTCCTCTAGTTTCTGTTTATCTATCTAATATTTCTGCCTTACTTTCCCTGTGTTGTTTCTGCCTATCGGTCTTATTTCCCCCTACATCAAAGAGTCGTTTTTGTGTCGATATATTTCTCCTGACTCAACCTCAATACATCAACTTCTCATTAGTTGTCCGTCTCCGACCAAAAAACACCTCGGCGTCGACAGATTTCCTCGGGGCTGGATCAAGCCGTAGAGGTGGCGGGTTAAGTTACGGATTTGCGCCTGTTGCTAATGCGTTAAAAGTGTAAGTTTGGAAACGTCATTGTAAGTAAAGGTAGGACATTAGCAATTAAACGGGTAGTGCAGGACAGGGTGTTTCGTATAGTATGGTATAGTATGGTATAATGGTATGGTATGGTATGGTGCGGTGCGATGTGGTATGATGGTTTGGTATGGTATGGTATGGTATGGTATGGTATGGTATGGTATGGTATGGTATGGTATGGTATGGTATGGTATGGTATGGTAGGGTATGCCTATGGTGCGGTTCGGTGCGGTGCGGTGCGGTGCGGTGCGTGGCGTGGTGTGGCGTGGCGTGGCGTGGCGTGGCGTGGCGTGCTATGCTATGGCGTGCTATGCTATGACGTTCTATGGTGTAGGTTCAATTTTAAAACTTTTTTTCAAAGCTGGGAACCCTTTATCTCGTACGGTACCGCGTCAAGTGGATGGAGAGTCATGGTGACTTATCGAATAATCCAAGCTGAAAAGTCGCCTTGGGAGTTCAAAGTAGAATACATGTAGTAGCCTACGAAGCTTTAGCTGTAATAAGCAAAGGTAATTAAATATTATTCTGATAGCTCAAGTGGGGAGGAAAATCTGGCGGGTATAGTGTAACAGTTAGGCTCTTCGTGGTAATACGTAGAAGGAATGAGTTCGATTCCCGAATGAGGTAGTTTGGATTTTTGGGGATTTTTTTTCTGGTCGAGTAGTATCGTCTGTCTGCTGGGGTGTTGTATCCGTGTTAGTTGAAGGTTGCTTTGCCTCTGATAGGAAGGCAGGGCCAAAGCAGCCTACCACCAGATGACTCAAAATGTGTGGATGAGGGCGTAAACCATTATAATTTTAGTTCCAGCTTATATCTTACCACGCACCAACCATTATAATCACAGTTCAAGATTATATCTTACCAAGCAGAAATAGTACATGTAGTCCTATAGGTAATTTCAAAAGTAAGTTTTTAGACTATAGCGGCGACAGTAAGATCGAAGGAAGACAGGAAACGACATTATCTGTACTTTAATAGGTAGGCCATTCGGTGTTACATACAGAAGATCTGAGTTCGATTCCCATGTTGGGACGCCATTCTATCAAATACACGTATTCTCGTTTGTGAACAAGGGTGTTGTGAGTAGGACAGACAGACAGACAGACAGACAGACAGACAGACAGACAGACAGACAGACAGACAGGCAGACAGACAGACAAACAGACAGACAGACAGACAGACAGACAGACAGACAGAAAAGAAGTATATATAATTATTAGGACGAACCAATGATACCCCAAACCACACACACAGACACGCACGTCATTCGTTCCTTCAATTTCCTCTCCAAGACTCATCGGACCCTCACTGAATCGATTAAACGTATTAACGTGGGCCTCCCGCTGTCTCGTTTTCCGCTTGATAACATCGGTTCTAGATTTACATACACAAACCCTGATCTGAGC